CATCGCACAATTTCAGAATATTTTTCCCTCCTTCACACCTTGAAAATTTCGTATTCTTTACGATGTACAGGAGTCCCACCAACTATGGGCCACCCTCATAACTTCTAAACGGTTCCCGATATCGACTTCCAGTTTTCTCTCAACACTGCGAAATCATGGGGCAAGTGATATGGTAGAGGTATATTGTTTGAAATATTTTTAGTTTTCGACAAATTTTATCTTTGATTTTGAAATGGAACCATATATTTTTCTCACAAGCAATAGATCATAAAAAGAGGAATGCAATGTTGTAACATTGGTTAATATTTTGATAGTGTTTTGTGAAGAAAATTATACTTTCTGACCTGAGATTTTAAATTAAACATGTAATTTTTCCTGTAGCTGCAACTGTCGCTGTTAGCGAACGTGACCTTCGCGGCCTCTCCCCTCTCCCCGTTAAAGTGCCGGTGCCGCAAAGGCAACCTTCCCCAAACGAGACAGTTAAAAGGGTTGCTACAAGAAATCTTGTATATTTAATTTAAAATCACACGTTGGAAAGTATAATTTTGTACTCAAAATACTATCAAAACATTAACATGTCATTTCATTCGTCTATTCATGATCTATCTATTGCTAGTGAGATAAATACATGGTTTCATGAAAAAAATTAAAAATTATTAAATTTCTCGGAAACTAAAAATATTTGGAACAATTTTTCTATGGCACATTACTTGCCTCATGATTCCATATTGTTGAGCGATAACTACATTTTGATCTCGGGAACCGTTTAGAAGTTATTGGGGCGGCACATAGTTGGTGGGACTCCTTGTATATCTTTCGTAAATAGAGGTAAAAATTACACAGCTTCACTTTCAATACTTTCAGGAATCTTTTCCATTTTCTAGCAAGTCAACGATAGTCAACTCAAATATACCCTCCAAGGTCTCCAATGTACCGTCATTACGCCTTCTTCTAGAAGAGAATAAGCTCAAAATTTTGCAAAGATGATCGGATAAGATAAAATATTGCATATTACAGATGGCTGTAAGACCATTGTATGGTCGTTAGTAATCATACAATCATGTCACGCGCTCGTGAATAATTAACTAACTGCACACAATGAACTAATTTTTCCGCCACTTATAAAATAAATTGCCATTATTTTTTTTACTACAGCCCCGCAATCGAAAAAATCTTAATTATATTCAGAACAACGGGAATTTTGAGAGGAGGTTTTAAGATCGTACCTTTTCCAGTGTTTTAAGATACTGAATTTTTTTCCAAAATATTTATTGCGTTGAATTTGGCGGGGAGAAAACATCGAAAAAACGTGATTTCTTTTTTATTGTACACATTATTTTATTTCTCATATGTTTACTTTCTAGCACATCTTAAGAATCGTGAGATCACTTATGTAATCGTGCGCCGGAAAACTGCCAATTTTCGGCGCACAAAAAAAAAAACTTTTTGCGGGGCCCCTGGTAACCAAAAAGTGAATTAATCCTGTTGCTATATGTAGAATTTTTTCCCTCTAATACGTGGTGTAGCCAGAATTCATGTTTTGAGGGTCATTGCTACAGAAAAATCTGTCGGTCTGTGGTCAACGCTAAATCGTTCAGACGATTTTCTTTAAAATTGATACTTCTCGATCGATCTCAACGATCTTGAAGGTTTCTGTGATTCAAACGGATATTTTGATCTTTGAGTGTACTTTACATATTGAGCCTGAAAAACATATTATAAATTTTCTCAACATGGCTCCTAATTTTTTTTTTTAACTGTTCATGGATAGCGTACAGGACTCTAAATACAAAGGTGCAGTTCTCATGTTCTCTGAAATACCCAATTTTCCAAAAATTGGGACAGTACAATTTTTTGGGAGGCGCCTTCTTACAACTACAATATTGAAAATAGATATTTTTTTCCTTAATGAAATCTGTACCTTAAAGACATTTTGAAATAAGATCCTGTTCAATTTTTCGAAAATGAGTAGTTTAGTGCAATATTGCGCACAATATAGGCCTTTTAAATTTGTTTAAACAATTTTTCTAAAAAAACACGCTGTAAATGTCTTTAAATTGTGTCATGTCTAGGGACGGTAAAAATAAGATACTAGTCCCACTTTCGGCGAACTCGCCGTATTTTCGAAAATTGCAAAAAGTTAACATTTCAAAAGTACAAAACTTACGGTAGAGATTTTTGGATATAACAAAATCTATTCTCAAATATCAGCTTTTTAAAGGTCTAATATGATTTAAAAAAACCAAAAACCTAAAAGTTTTCACGTAATTTCAGTTTGAAATTAATGCAAATTACAAAGACATTTTATCAAAAACTGTTCTTATTTTTATCTTCAAAATTTTTTCATGTATTAAACAAGAGATGCTTAAGAAATGGTGTAGGTCCGATTTTCGTTGATCTCTTCCAATTTTCGAAAATTGTGTTTTGGAAATATTTAATTGAAACAGTTACGTTTTTAAGTGTCGATCAGAGTTCGAAACTCAGCGTTTCCACAGTGTAGTGGTAAAGCTCACAGCGATTTAACTCTGAGCACTTGAGTTTGAGTCTCAGCACGGAAAAAAATTGGTTGACAACAATTTTGCAGGTGTATGTAGTAGTATAATATTGCAGAGCAGTTATAAATAAAGCAAGAAAGTATATGTTACTGGAGCACCACAGCTGTAATCGAAAAAGGTCAAGCAAAACAAAGATGATGATGATGATCTCAAGAGATTGATCTTTGTAAAAGAGAATACACAATTATTCACAGACTGACACTAGTCTAAAAGTCAATTTTGAAAACACTAATTTCTTCCAAAAATCTTATAGCTTTGGGAGGGGGGTCCCTGTGGGCCCCCAAAGTGGGGCTTAAACAACTGCTTGTTTTGCTTCTAAAAAATCACCAGGCATGGCTGAGTTTGGTGTGTTCCTTTCCATTCATACAACATACACTTTCATTTCCATATTTCTTTAATTTCTCTTATCTTTCCTTTTCCATGGATCCATACTTCATTTTTTATTTCCAACAGTTTTAATGTGGGTAAAACAGTAGAAAAGAGACCAAAGAAGTATGAAGAGAAAGACAAAAGGGAGAACAGTTACTGATGAGAAAATGCAAGGAAAGCTAAGATGGGAAGGAATGACAAAAATAAGAAAATGATTTCAAGCATGCATGACTGACACAAGGGTAAAATTATTTTGGAATCAGGAATTGTTGGTACAGATGTGTGCAAATAATTAGAATAATTGAAAAGACTAACAGTAATTTACTTTTGAAGTATAATTAAAACAATTTATCAATAATGACCTTTTTAGTACTTGAGATGCATTTCCTTGTTCTTTATAACCATTTGTATTTTCTCTGGTATACTTTCCACAAGGTCATTGCACATTTTCTGAATTTGTTCATCCCGAAACCGTATGTCAAAGTTGTTTCCAATTCCGGTTGTTATTGTCTGCTTCAATTTTCTCTTTACCCATACATTTTCAATTGGGTCACAGTCTGGGCTATTACCAGGCCAAAACAATGTGGCAGTGTGCAGTGTTATTTCCTCCAAGAATTTCTTATCACACTTGAGCTAATGGCATGGTGTTCTGACGTGCATAAAAATGCAATTTGTTTCAGGAAACCAATTTCTGATCCTAGGCGGCAGGTGGGTTTGAAGCACCTTTCTGTATTGATTCTGCTCCATTGTGCCCTCAATAGAGTCTAATCTGTCACATTCATGAAATGACATGCAACTCCATACTGTAACTGAAATTGGAAGTTTGACTATCTGCATGATACATTTTGAAGAAAACTCATCAGGGGCCATTCTCCCATACTGGCTGCCCTTCTTGGACACAGAAAATATGGACTCATCTGAAAATATTATCTGCAAGATAATAAACACTTTTTATACTGAATTTTCAAAATCATGTTTTGAAACTAGAGGAAATAAATCCGTACATCTCTGTACTGAATTTCTGAAAAAGTTTGAAACATCTCACTTCACATTTGAGTATGAAGTTACCTCTTAGTAAGCAGTAAATAATGATGTATATCATGCGTTTTAAGTTTTCCCAACTGGTGTTAACTTCAATCTGGATTCCTTTTGCCCATTTCAGTCATTTCTTAGCCATGGTAGAAGTTATTTTCACTTTATTTCTTGATCATCCTGCAGGAAATCCTGCTGCATGAAGATCCGTTCTTACGATTGAGAGGTTATTTCGTCTCCATTCAACTCCAGTTGACTGTTCAAGTCCTTACTGATGTTTCTTTTATTCATCTTGGTCTTTTGAATCAATTTTTGTTGCACATGAGGCCCAAATTTCCCCTTACATTTGGCTGCAAGGGTCTCGCCTGATATCAATGCAGAACCGATTCTACAAACACTACAATGCTTCTGAAAGAGTCAATTTACTAGCAATATTTTGTTGGAAATATCTGCCTTTCTGTATTAAACATTCAGTCAATGCCCTTTTACAAGGCAGAAGGTCTATTTTTACCCATAACCACAGTTTTGCTAGAAGCATCTTCAGTTCACCGCTTCAAAAACTCACCAGAAAACAGATTCAAAAACAAATTTTACTCATAATGCATAGAAACAACATTCAATTAGAAAATACAAGGAAGGAAACAAGGAGCCAAGTGCATGAACCAAAGAAAACATTCGCAGGCTGAAACATTCTTTTAAGTTCAGATGGAAAGTGTTTTTTCTAGTAAATAAGGAGAAAAAAACACCAAATTCAGAAATAATTCTAAAAATTTGCACACATCTGTATGTGTGTGACATGAGATGAAAGAAATAACCACACTCGTAGAAAATCTGAATACAACAGATAATTCTTAGTCCACTGAACGGTACAGTATATACAAATGAGAATGGAGAGAATACTACTTACAATCAAGGTAACATACAATTAATGACTGTTGTGTGACATGATTTAAGACTGGCAACAGAGATGTTTTATAAAAAAAATTAGTAAAAACTGTCTTCAAAATGTGATAAGAATAATACTTTAACCACACTCATAAGTGAACTTCAAACTATTTGAACAAGACATTATTTTTTTACCTGGGAGCAGTTTTCAGAAATTTTTGAAACATCCAGATAGGGACACTCTTCCATGAAGTACTCTAGGAAATTCCTGTCAAATTCACAGGGACTCAAGTTGAGGTAGATCAATGTGAAAAATAACAATTTTTGAAAAATGTGAGTGCATGGTTTAGATCAAGGGTTCACAACCTTATGAAGCCTGATGGCCAAAAAGTTATCAAATCAAAAAGGACATGATTCACAAGTTTTATAGACACCTCAAATTTTCTCTTTTTATAATTCTAGTACAAATTGTAGGCAAGGTCAATTAGAGCTTTACCACCATTTCACACATAAAATAAAATCATAATAATACAGCATCACAAGTTTTTGGAAGAAATATAGAGATCATAAAATCGGCAGCGATTTCTCAAGACTAAATATTCTGCATCATTCACCATTCTGCATCATCAACCTCGAATTTATATAACAACTGTATTAATTGTTTGAATCTGGGATAGAAATAGGAACAGGAGTTACAAATATTTGAAACCCTTCATTTCACAACTCGTGAACAACACTCACAACTCTTGAATGTGGAGGAAAAGGGTATGTTGTGTTTCAGAAATTTGTGTTAATAATTATTTAATGTAAATAATGTAATAAATTTGTAAAGAAGCCTCATTTATGAGCTTTAAAATGACACTTCAACAACATTAAATTTTGAAAACGTCCAAGCTGACACAATTTTTGGTTTGTCTAATCCATATCAATTTCACTATTTATACAAATATTAGATCATTGACACTTCAAAATAATTGTTGCTACTGCCTCCGTAAGCATTAATTTTATTTACATCAGCAGGAACTTCAGGCACACCAAGGTTGAAAACATCTTAACTGTCTGCACCCTTGATGAATTGGTGCGGAATGACTCCCCCCCCCCGAATACTAGTCTCATGAATTTTATCACAGTTTCCATAAAAAATTAGAACATCAATTCAGAAGACACAATTGAAATCAGTATTTCATTTCACATGGAACCCCTCATTAGTGAAATCTCTTGGTTTGCAGTAACTGTCACAGAGCACAAACAATAATTATTTGATTCAAGAGCAGCACATGATAACCTCCAAGAAAAAAAGAAAATGTTCAATAAATTCTAGAAAACAATGACATTTATTGTCTGATAACACAAAATTAACAGCATATGACAAACAATGTTATCATCACACATTCAAAAGCAGTTTGTAAGGATTTTCAATGTAACTCTTCCACAAATTTGAAAATCTAGCTATAGTTGCGCCATCAATAATCCGATGATCAGCTGCCCAACTTATGCATATCACCTTTGCTTTCACAACATTTCCCAACTCGTCAAACCTAGGAACAATCTGTACTGCTCCTATTCCTCCTATTGCCACTTCCGGAGGTAAAACAACTGGTAGAGTGTACTTTCCTCCAATCTGTTAAATGCAAAAACACATACAAATAGTTATCGATTAAAAAAAACAACTCTTACAAATTGTAAATGCTTTTCTTTTTTGGAAAACTTGTTTCAATTTTCTTATATATTGTGATCACAATCGTGAAAACCATTTTTGGATTAGTTCTTGAAAAATAAAGAATTCAAAGTGAAACCTGTTTCAAACTATCAAACATGTTTCGTACCTATCATAAAATATTTACTAAATTGTATTCAAAGTAAATGAATTTCTCAAATTTCTTAGGTGAAACTAAAATATTAAAACCACCACCATTGTGGAATAGTTTTTGGTGTGTAATTCATCTCAAGACTCTCAAGCTCACTCAATAGACACAACCATAGTCTCTGCCAAAATATTACATTAAATGTCATGATAGCAGCTGCTTTTTAAATCAATATTCCTTGGCTGATTTAACTTGCCGCTGATGTTCAAATCAGGATAATTCACAAATTAGACAGTTTATTTTCAACTATAATATGCTGTCTCTTATTTCTGCATAAAATATTCATGTTCTTAAACCCTTTTTTTTTTTATAGACAGCGACTCTAAAAGAAAATACAATTTAATTTATTTTTGCTACAACATAATATCTTTAATTTCTTGTTTGAAATAATTTAGTATTTAGTTCTTGTTTACAATTCATCTCTTCACATTACAATGTTCTTCTCTACGTGTTTTGAGTGTACTCTTTTGTGTACTCTTCTTCAGGTGATTAATTTCTTCGCCAGATAATGCCCAAAAGATCTGTTCATTATCATTCTTAAACAAATCCTCTCGCAAATGTGTTAATTAACAGGCTAATTCATAAATTAGTCAGGTTTTGAACTGGCTGTAACGTGGAATTTCACAAAACGCAAGGCCATATATGCAACTGATCTCAGAAGCAACAATATGTATGTGTGGGAAGCATGTGGACATAACCAAAGAATTAGAATATGACAATGAAAACTAATTATGGACTAGGAATAACAAGAACACATAAGAATATCTACTGTTTTCCATAAAAGAAAAGCTTCGCAACAATGACACATAAGTTCTCAAAAAACAAAGGGAATAAATGAGTCATGTCTTGCCTAGACACTTACCGAACCAATGTTTGACAATGTGAAAGTCCCTCCAGTCAAGTCTGATGGACGTAATGAGTTTGCCAACCCACTATGGTGTAATCTCTTCAGCTCCTGCGCCACTTCTAAAATACTTAACTTTTCAACATTTTTAATGTTGGGAACTACAAGGCCAGCAGGTGTATCCATGGCAACTCCAATATTGTGACTTGATTTATACAAAATATGTTCACATTTCTCATCTACTGATGAGTTGAGAAGAGGAAATTTTAAAAGACTGTTTGAAGCTGCCTTAATAAAGAAAGGCATGAATGTAAATTTAACAGGTGTTTGGATTTGTTTTAACTCTTCGATAATATTTGATATTTTAGTCACATTAATTTCATCACTGTACATAAAATGTGGAATCATCTGCACAAATAAAACAAAAGTTATTCATATACAGTTTTTCATATTACATTATCTGTATCATTTTTATCATCACTGGAATACTGAACTCTCTGACTTTTAAGTGAACACACTAATATCATTATGCTTGTCTTACTGGAGAACCTCTTTTTTACCAAATTGCAAGATAAAAAGTCATTACACCAAGGCAACATTAAATATTCCCTTTTAATACACGTTTTTAACTTTACCTAATAACATTTGTCAAAGAGAATAATTAGAATAAATTTCTGTTCCACTCTCATTTCTTTCCTTTCTTTTTATAAAAAGTGTTTCATGATGTTTGAATATTATTCAATACAATTATTATAATTTGTCCATATACAGAATTGTATAAACTTACATTTGCTGCTGTCATGGTTTTTACCATGGCTTTAGAAAACCCTTGAATGGGCTTCTTTTGTACATTACTTTCTGAAGACACAAGAGTATCACTAGTCTTTACATTTAAAAATTCTTTTGATTTTCGAGTTTCCTCAGAATGCATACGTGTTTTCTTCCTGTCTTCCAAGTATGTCAAAACATCTTCCTTTAATATTCGTCCATGCCGGCCAGTCCCAGACACGTTTTTCAAATCAATCTATTCAAAACAGCAGGAAAATGTTAAATTACACACTTGCTTCCATTCTCTAAAACAACGTTCAAAAGTTCAAAAACTATACGTAGGCAGGCCAAAATCCATGAACTCCTTCTCATTTCCGATGACACTTTCCAATTTTTATTTTTTTCACTTTTATTTCTCATAAACCCTGACCTTTAGTATTTACTAACTTTTTAAAGGTCTCTGGAAGACTGTCGGCCATCCTCCATACGAAATTACTTCTGAGTTAAAAAGACTGTTGTGGAAGCCACACCTCTGCACACCCCACACTCTCAGATGACAACATTGCAATACAGTGACTATCATGCTATTTTGTGAAACAAGGAAAAGTCAGACACTACTGGCAAAATGCAGATGGCTTTACAACGTAAGTGAAAGGAAACAAAGAAGGAGGTTCTCCCAATTTTCACTGCAGAGCCTTTCTGTTCACTTTGTACACTCATAAAATGCAGTGTCATTCTGAAAAATCCTAAAGAGCATATGCACAGATATGCATTCACACAAACTACACACACATGCATCACATTAAAAAATGCTTATAAATCAACAAAACTTCAAAGTAGTTATCGGCAGAATTGTTTTTTTTTTCATTCCTTTTCAGAAATTTAGAAGTAAAGTAAAATTATAGTGAGCTGATCAAAGGGAATGGTAGAAAACTGATTTAGAGAGAAAAAGAATGTACTTGTGCATGTGCATGCATGCAGCCCCACACATGCCCAAACTAGGTAAGCAGGCAGGCAGGCAGGCAGGCAGGCAGGCAAAGGCATGCCAATGCTCATCCCCCAATCAATCATTACTTCGCCCATACTTACTTTCAGAAATTAATTATTACTTCATACTTACTTTTTCTTCTGATGCCAATCTTCGAACAGCAGGTGTTGCTAGAATTTTACAGCCAAAATCTATTATCTCTTCCGTAGTTTCAGCTGTCTGAATGTCAGCATTCTCCTGTGAAGAACCTCCACTTGCTGTCGTACCTGATGAATTAGTCATAAGAATGAAAGAGAGATAATTTAAAAAACATCATAAAACTTTTTTTTTTTCTCTTTGTACTTTCAAAAGCATGCTGGGATTTAAATCTGGAACCCTCAATTTAGCAAGCGTGTGTCTTAACCACTATGTTGCTGTGACGCAAAACTAAATGTTACTCTTTTTTAAATTATTTAAAACCTTTGCAGAAGAACGTTCCATAAATAAATTTAAAGAAACTAATAATCATGTATCATATGAGGGGCTTAGAGCTTAAGAGTTATAAATGATCTAAATGTGGTATTGAGAAAATAGAGTTTAAAGTTCAGGGACTTGAAAACACTATGGGAGACATTTTCTTTCCACCACTAGAATGCAGCAACTGTTTGAGCTATTGTTTACATTGAGCTGAATACCATTTGTTTACAAGATAAAATGGAGTTATTACTTTACATTCCGATTCTTACCTCAATTTTTTTTCAAAAATGCACTTATACCTCATGTGTAATTAATTACTTAAGAACCTGAGCATTGATTTATTTCAGTTTCAATACTTTGTGACGTTAAGTTCCATGGATAATTTGTATGGTTTATTTTAATTTTACATTGAGTAAACAACAAAAGACAATAAAAATGTTGGTGTTAAAAATACCAACTACATTTTATACATTAAAAGCAAGAAAATGCAATAAAAAAATTTTTTTTGGAAGAGTTAAAATGTCGTGCTCTAAAAGTAATATTTAGAACATTTATTCCATTATTTTAATGTCTACATAAAGCAATTGTTTATGCAAGTAGCCCAGGAATACTTTAAATAGAAATAAAATAGTGCAAATAATAGATACGTTAAATAGAATAAAATATGCAAATAGTGAAGAGATGTGTATAACATTGCACAAGTCAATTCAGTTTGTAACTTAGAATACCAACATTTAGTAATAGGCCAAATATTAGAAATAAATCTAAAAAAAATTTCACATATTTTCACACCACAAACCACACATGTAACACAATTAACGCTGAATTGTTAGATTTCACCCAATCTGTGCAATTGAGCATGCAGTCGTGACAACACTTATTTATGCATAAGAAAATTGAACACATCTATTATAATTTTTTTGAATATTTTGAAATAAAAGAAGAAAACCTGCTAATTGTTCGGGAACAATTCTGCTTATTTTGCAATAATCCTACATTCAATAGAACCATCAATGGGTGGATAAGATCAACCCTTCATGGATGTAAATAACATTTATTCATGTGAGGTGCATCCACTCAAAACATTGAAAAGGTAATGGCAATAATAAAGTACCACAGCAGTCAATTGTGAGGACATGAAATCCTTGTCACTGCTGGCAATGCAGGCAGCATACATGGTAAATTTACATATATTGTTTAAATCTGTAAATACATTCATTGCAGTATATTAAGTAGGAAGTGTGCTGCTTTCTGAATTAAATAATGCACATCTGTTAAGCATTCCTATATTTGATGTAAGATTTGCAGTAACAAAATATTCAAAGTGATTGTATGCAGAGGTGAATTCAAACTTACTGAGACACTATTAGATTGAGATATTATAAAGTTCAGTCTTTGCAAGTGTATGGCATTGTTTTCATCAACAGCATTAGTTAAACCATGGTTGTTCAAAACACTTCACGTAAAGTACATTTAATTACTGCATTTTTGTGAGATACATAAAGTAAATTGTGAGACCAAATACTCTTGTCAACATTTTAAAATTAATCTGCCATTCAGATTTGCTGTAATTTCAAGCAATTCTTTATTTATAACTGTCTAACATATCATAATGATTTATGAATTGATGAAGGTATAGCCAATGATGTACTAAGTACCAAATGATGTGGGCACACGTTGCAACACTCAATACCACAATTCAATTCATTTCTCCTAACAATTAAACCAACTGAGAGGAAGAATAAGAATTAATATAAGGAATCTTAGATGGGTACTATTAAAAAGAATTTATTCCAAAAACATTTCAATGGAAAATTTCAAGCCATTGGTGCAGACAATACTAATTAAAAAACAATCCTCCTAATGATAAATCAATTTTAAAAAACAGCAGACTTCAGTAGCACAACTCTCCAGAGTATTTAAGACTGTTCACAGGATTTAGACTACTACTACTATGAAAAATTTTCTCCAGATTATTGAATACTAAAAACAAATGGTGATGTGCAATATTGATTTAATATTCTTAAAAAGCTGAAAGAAATCTAAATTCACATCCGAATTGCTGGTCAAACACTCAGTAGATGATTTGTCCTTGATCATATGAATATGGGTGAATCTAGAACTTCAATGTTGAGAAGATGAACTTATGACACATAATAGATGGGTAAATGTTCATGGAGCAAGAAAAAAATAATTATTTAAAAATATTATTTGACAAAATTTACAGTAAGATATTTTTTCCCCGAAAAGCAAAATATTGATTTTGTTTCCTAATTCACGATGTTGAATAGAAATTGTATCATTACTTTCCCCAAGTTCCTCAAACACAAATCAACATTCTTGAGAAACAAATGTAATAGAAATTATCTATAGGGCCTACTATTAAATTATCTATGCTAGATACCTATTGCTAACATCATGCATAATCACCATATCTACAAGAGCACGTGCGTCTTTCATTAAGAATGCAAAAGAAACAAGATATCAAAACTTAACTCTCATAACTTGCAAAATGCAAATATATTATTTTTTCTTCTATCATCCTTTTCAACAAAGAAAGCACATGACAACAGAAGAAAATTGCAGAAAATATATTAGAGATTTTAGTGTAAGAAAACACAACTTATGATACTCAGAAAAATAATTTATAGGAAACAAGAGTGTTTTGATTTTAGGCAGTAGAATGGGTTATTACAACTTTTGTTAGTGGCAGTTTTTCGTGAAGACAATATTAAAGAGAAAGAAATCATGCAATCCCAATACCTTTCCCATAAGAGTGATAAGCATATCATTATTTGCTTCATCCAAGAACATAACATACTGTTGTCAAAAACTTCCAAGTCCACAAGTGGGTCTCCCACAAGGGCTGTGTCATCAATGTTGTAATGTAATTTTGTGATGGTCCCATCATAACGGCTGGTAATTGTAACAGAGGCCTTGTCGCTTTGAACTTCACAAATGTTATCAAACTGTGAAACTTTATCCCCGACTTTTACAAACCTATAAAAGGAAATGTGAATTACAAAGGAATCTGAAAGCTTGCAAAATGAGTTAAATAAGAATTGAACAAATAACAGATCAGTATATTTTCTGGAGTGTACCATACCACTCTTTTACAGTTACTTCTCGTATCCCTTCTCCAATATCTGACAACTTAAAAGGTACTATTCTGGGAGCAGAAGTGTATTTCCTGTGAGAGGAAATTGAAAGCAACTTGTCCACCGTGCATACATGGCGAGAACAGAAGCGGCTACCACGATAAATAGGAAATGCTAGTGAAGTCTTCTTTATGTTCACACAAGGCTGCAAAAGAAAAAAGAGGTAAACTTGGGGCAGGGGCAATAAGCAATTAAATAAACAGATACACAAGCCAGAAATAGTTCCAATAGGCTCCCCTGAATTGCAAGCAGCGTCAGTACCTAGTCAGCATTAAACCATTAAGTAGCGGAAGAAATGAAATTTGAGAAATTGGATTTGAAAGTTTTATTTACTATTTCAACTTACCTTTACCATAACTTTGTCGATAGCTGAACAGCCCATCGCTGCTGACGTCAATCTCTTTATCAAACGAGCCATAATACAAGTTTCGCCGATTATTCGTCCATTAAACGTGCAAGAAGACTTGATGCAATAAAAGTGGAGAACCGGGAACACAAGTTGGCACTGTTTTAACACAGTCACGATTCTTCTATAATCAAATGAATTTCATTATATAAGGTATAAACCTGCAGTGCACTTTGTAGTTGATCGAGTTTGAATTCTTTTCTGGCTTGATGTTCCGTACCAACTAGAGTTTTTGATACCGAAACAGACGTCAAAACTTGTCCTTGAAATTGGCATAGAGTACGATAAGTTATCAGCAGCTTAAGGTCATGATACCATTTCATAACATCACAGAAATTCAATGAAATTTTGTAGCTTCACGCGATTTGGCTACGTCCATCCAAATGCAATGAAAATACATAGAATCCACCATTTCAAAACTCATAACAACACCTAATCTTCGACTGATGCAAATTATGCCTATTTGTAGCTGTTTTCACATTTTGCCACACAATACGTTAGCTGTTATTCATAATATACAGCGCGTAGCTTAGAGTAAAATGTCAAGATCGACGATGATGCGGACAAACTTTAATTGAAACTATGCTAATTACTGAAAAATATTTACAAATACGCGCGGATTGAGTAGTACGATGTCACGTGTGACGTTCCGCCAATCGCCGAACAACCACTTTACACCTGCCGTCTCACATTGGCAAATACTGTCCTTACCAGTCCTTACTTAGGCCTGTCCTCTATTATAATTATTATCATCATAATGTCTTACAATCATTTTGGGCCTAGCAACAGCAGTGCAGTGTAGTGTGGTATAGCTGGCTAGATACACGATTGGCACCATCATACTCTTTGATTAGCACAACCACAAACAGGCCACATTCTTACGATCCCAACGACGTAAACGCCAAGTGCGGGAAGTGCCTGTTTGGGTTACCCACCTGTTTCGCCTTTGCATTATGTTAGATTAGCTTAATTAGCCCAGTAAGAATATCGACGAGAAGTAGAGCGGCACAATAGTGCGCCATACGTATTTTAAGCAAGATTGTTGCCCTCTTATTTGTTAAAAGTCCAGAATTCTGGAGAGAACAAGCTGAATTGGTTCGTAGTGTACCGAAGGGCGTGAAGATCGTCCTTGTCAGTGTCGATACCTCACACGTATATACTATTTACGTGACAGTGGCTGAATATTATTACTTATTATGTCCCAGTTTGTACTGATGGATGTGTTCCAAGCATTCAATGAAGTGAGTGGACATTCAAACTTCATTGTGCATTAAAATGGGAGTTGCCGGTCGCAATTTACACATTGTTTCCTGTGCTGCATTCTTACATTTTTAAAATTTTTTTGCATCTGTTGTGCATTTTCTTGTTCTACGAATATCTGTTCATTCTGTTTAGAAATCTTATTCCGCCATTTCATTTTTTCCATTCTTTAACATTGTTAGATGAAATTAACCCTGCCGTAAAATTATATTTGAAGTGGTAATGTGCTGATAGTAATTATTTTGTTTATGGTTGTTTGCTGCTGCTGTGATTAGATTTGTACATTGGAGAAACACAGAGTGATAGAAAATCATTCAACAAATATTCAAAAAAATATTTAATAATGGCTAACACTATTTTTACAAAACAATACATTGATAATATTTTATACAATGCATTGATATGTCCCTCTGAGAGAGACACTATCTATACATTTTGAGGAATATTTTGTCGTGTTGTTTTTTGTGAAGTATTTTTGATAACATTACTTGCCAAGCATGCAAATATGTAGTGGAATATAATAAATTTTATTTCAAATGTGGGCCATGAAATGACAGTTGTATATATTCTGTCATGTATGTGGTAAATATTTAATAACATTGCTTTAAAAAGTGAGAAAGTTTAAATTTTGTGAACAAAGATTGATGATTGCTTTTGTCATATTCTGAATGTACGAACAAATTATTCAAATATTTATGATTTGCTTCTTAACTTGCTCTAAAAGAATGCAAATTTTATTTGCTTTTGAATGTTCCTGTAATTTTTAAAATTAATTTTTCCATTGTAGAAAATTAAGTGTTGTAATGTGGTACTAGTTGGAATAGCTTGGTAACAAAAACTATCCTAAACAAAATTTTATTAATAAATTCTTTTTCAGGTACCACTGTATCACATTTGTTTAGAAGTTTTTCTATTGCTGATGGTTCTGTGGCTAATTTTTCATCAAAGTTATAATCCTAATGAAACAGGAGATTTGTCGAAAGAGGTATTTACTTTTAAGAAATTGTATTTAATTTAATTATGTCCTCTGTATGCAATGTGTTAATACTTTCTCAGTGAATTACTTGAGTGTTCTTTATTGAGGTGTGTTCAAAGCTCTTATTTTTTTCCCTTCTTCCTTAAGGAATTGCAAGCTTTGATAGATGAATGGACTCCAGAAGAACTTGTTTCAGATGTAGATCAGAATCATAGGGCACTGCATCCTCGTGTCATTACAAGCAAGGTTAGGTCCTTTATGTCTCCAGTTTCAGAGTATACTTTATTACAATATTACATTGTATTATATTACATTATATTCTGAGAGTACTAATTATATTCATTTCATATTCATGTATCATCCTTTTTCATTCGCAGGCTCAAAAATATATTAGCATAGATAATAACAAATGTTTAAATTTGGCTACCCACAATTACCTCAATTTCGTAGGTAATGAGATTATCGAAAAAAGCGCTATTGACACTATTCACAAATATGGTGTTGGTTCATGTGGACCTAGAGGATTTTATGGAACTGTTGGTTTGTTCCTTTGAAATTTAAAATGCTATTATTTTTCATGAAGAATGTGATTCAATATAATTTTTAATGAATCCTGTTTGTTGTAGATGTTCACTTAGATCTTGAAAATAAATTGGCTGAATTCATGGAAATGGAGGAAGCAGTTGTTTACTCATATGGATTTTCCACTATAGCATCAGCTATTCCTGCATATGCAAAAAGGAGTGATGTGATATTTGTGTAAGGTCTCACTGATTACAAACTATTATTTAATCTTAATTTGCTGGGTCAGTTAAATGAAAATGTTTTTGTGATTTTCATGTAGGAGTGCTTGTATGATGTATGTCGGTACCAGTGAACTGAAATTTTAAATTATTTGTAGATGGTGTTAAATATGAATTATAGTATTATATCTCTCTTCATTTTGATCCATTCTATAATAAAATTGCTTTAGAAAATCAAATAATGTGCCTTGACACCACTTTTTTTTATTTTAAAAATGTAATTATTTTCTTATTGTAGGAACATTTTATTAAATTCAACTATTAAATAAGTTTTTAAATAATGTTTAATTCAACACATGCCTATGTAATCAAGTGTGTTAAGGAAATAGCATTTACTTTTTGGGTTCAAAGGGTTGTGAATTTTAATCCCACTGCAGTCATGGATGTTTGCTTGGGTGGTGAGACGTGGAGGGGCTTCCTCAACCACCGTCTAACATGTTTTAACCCTCTATTTTCCATTTCCTGAGTATTAAACCTTTCACATAATCAGGTTATGCATGGCAGTCTCTGGGATACCTTGGCAACAATAGTAAAAAGGTTTTCTATTCAAGGACAATTAAAGGGCTATAGTGGGCCACCAAAGTGGGGGAGGGTCCCATCTCTGCAAGGTTCTGAGGGCAATTGGAAGGACAATAGGATCATGCAGTAAGGAAAGAAAATCTCTGATTTGGGATCAGCTAAAGACTGAAGATTACAGTAGGTTTATGTACTTTGGCAGGAGTGCTTTATGAGCTAAGGCCTACCAGCAGTGTCCCGGCCTTGTGGCAATGGGTTAAGGGGTAGGTGTGGTTATGATATAGCCATCCCTACACTGTATTCTGGTCTTCTCAAGAGAAGTGAGCTTTCTCAACGTCACACAACAACAGAAACTGGGACGTTGCAAGAAAAGCACACAATTTTTGCTCCATCTGAGAATCAAACCCAGGGTTGTGCCATGAAAAACACGCATGCTAACCACGAGCCACTGAGGGCTTCCCGAAGGTTACAGTGGTCTTATAAAATAAAATATATAAATAAAGTAATAAAAAAACAAGTACACATAACTGAATGATTTGTTACATACCATATTGATTTTAATATCTATTGCAAGTATCTCGTAGATCAATAAATAAAAGAAATCACTAATGAGCCTGTCAAATTGTATTTCATTTAATAAAAATATTTTGTATGGTATTATTTTGATTATATATTTACAAAACTCGCACTACACTATTACTTGCACAATATTTTCTGCTTCATTGTAAATATTGGAAAGTAATAATCACTGTGATCTTTGCCCACAATTTTCTAACATTTAAACTGAATAATCTTTACATTTGTCCCATTATCTGTACACAAATAGCTCTTCCTTATCTACAGTTCTTGCAAGGTTTTGGATTTTCTCATTCATTCTTGTTTCCGCAAAGAATTAGATCATGAACACTAATTGACTGAATTCAATGAGAGACTTTAGATTCAAAACATCATCATGAATATCTAAATTCTTACAATGCTGAACTGCATTCCTTATCAAAGCAAATGAAAACTACAATAGGCAACATGTATACCCAAGCAAGGAATTTTCACTCCCTCTACCGCTAATAACTGGTTTTAATAATAAATTCAGAAGCAGTTTTTTTCTTAATTGTAGGATATGAAACTGGAAAGTACACAAGAGACATTGAAAGATCACTGGGCTCTTAGAAAATTAGTTAATAATATATGTATAATTACCTATATATAACACTAGTAGTGCTGCAGAAGATCTATTTACTTTCAACTCACTCTTTTTCATTCCCTGAGTATTTACTCTTTCACATATCCAGGCTATGCGTAACAGTATCTGGGATATCTTGGCAACAATAGTAAAAAGGTTTACTATTCAAGGACAGCTACAAGGCTTGCATTGTTTTGTAATAGTTACGTAATATGCTATGTGAACCTGCAAAAGATTGTCCAAGTTGTAATTTGAACCCTTGTTTTGAGGTTTAGTATGCCATTGTTACCTGTACACTACCAGCCTCACAGGTAAACACTAACTTCCCAATGCTTGAAAAGCAAAGTTGAACATTTGTATTTGCAATTTTCAAAAATAGAGTTCAATGAAGATGGTTTCTGCATCATTTTTTAAGCTTCTTTTCTCAGAGGCAAAGATTTAATCCAAAAATTTGGAGTAATTTTTAGGAAAATTTTGAGGCTTTGTATAAAGTAGACCCCTAAATCAAAATATGTTTCAAATTTTCAGGGCCTCAAGTTCAGATTAATAGAGGACTGTTAATTTTGGAGAAAATCATCTGAATGGTTTGAGTACTAGTGTTGACTCCACAGACTGACAGCCTTTTTGCCATACACCAATTTTCCAGTAACAAGGACCCAAAAAAGTGAATTCTGACTGCACAATATATTAGTGGAAGTAATCTACTACATAAAGAAGCAAGGTTTATCTGCTTCTTTAATATAAGGGACCCACACTATTAGTTTCTGTCAAAAAATTGCCAAGTATGTTTTATGCGAGAAAGTGAAAAAAAAAAAAGTTATGTTTTTGACAGCTACCTCTTACACTGCCCAACTAATTTAAATGCTGATTTTAGTCATTTATAAATCATGGCACAATTTGTAACATTATACATTTTGATGATCTGTGATCAATGTGCAGTGATGCTTAGTGTTTAATTTATCTTATGCCTCTATCTTCGTGTTAAAGTCTGCCAGTCTAATTCAGACAGAATGGGGCAGGACAAAGATAGTGAGGATGTAAATAAAATTATTTCCATTTTACACAAGATGGAATTCATTCCTTTTCTTATCTAATTAAAAATTATTGTGATAAATAATTTTGGCGAAAGCTGGATTCTTCAGCTAGTTTACTCATGAACTTGTATAATTTATTATATTTAGGCATCATTTTTTGAGTTTTCAAGTTTACGAAGTAGTTTAATAAGATGATTGTTGTTTTACTCCTCAGCTTCTCAAAGTAATGAAGCTTTCCATCTAGTTCAGCCATATTAGCATACAACTTTACTTGCAATGAGATCATTGTGTGAATTGTTTGCAGTGATGAGAAGGTTAACTTCGCAATTCAGAAAGGCCTTGATGCTTCTCGAAGTCGCCTTAAATTTTTTAAGCACAATGATACAAATGATTTGGAAAGTTTGCTTCTTGAACAAGCAGAATTGGACAAAAAGGTATGATGCAATGCTGTATATTAAATGTATTTTCCTCCTACTAAGCGCAAATGTATGTTGCATTTAAAAAATTTATTTTTCAGAATCCAAAGAAAGCAAATGTGACACGAAGATTTCTTATTGTGGAAGGCATTTATATGAATACTGGGGAAATTTGCCCTTTGCCTGCTCTTATTGAACTTAGGAAAAAATACAAATTGAGAATTTTTGTGGATGAGAGTGTGTCCTTTGGAACCTTGGGGGTAACTGGTAGAGGTGTCACAGAGTACTTTGATGTTCCTGTAAGTATTGTTACATCTTTTCAAAAATAGTTAATCAGTATAACTGCCTATTTAACAAAACAACAACAACAACAACAAAAACAATTGTCATACAGAAATCTATCATTTCTTTTACTTTCCAGAAACAAGATGTGGACATGATCATGTGCAGTATGGAATGGGCATTAGGAACAATAGGGGGATTTTGTGTTGGTTCATCTTTTATTGTAGAACATCAGCGTTTATCAGGGTTAGGTAAGATTGTACTCTTAAGAGTTTACGCTAAGTTTCTTAACAAATTGTTGTATGCAATGTCTGATAGTTCTCACAGTAAGCAGTGGTGGGTTTAGCCATGGGCACTGGCCCCTGGCAAAGTTTCTTCAATCTAAAAGCTTTTTTATTCGAAAGATTATTTATTGACGGTAATTACAGTTGTCAGTCTTGATTCAATAAGATCACTTGCATTTGGCCAGCTGGCCAGCAAAGAATGATGTCGTGGAATTTTTTAAAACAAAATTATGTAAATTCAATTTTTTTAGTACTTAAATATTCAGCGATTCTAAGCTTATCTTTTACTTGTTTGTCGTTACGAAGGTACTTCGTAAGAAGAGAAAGTTTTGTAATCATGCACTGGAAAATGGTGAACAGCGGTTGTGGTAATGGTAATCGACATTGAGATTTGGATGGAAATAAAAGTTTTGGGTGCCTCTAATTCCAATTTTATATCCTCACCTATTATGTACTTCCATAGTAAAGAGCTAATTGTAACGCTGTAGTATGATGTGGCGATTTTTCATTGGGAAAACTTGCCCTGATTTAGAAAATGACAATAAGTCTTGTAGTAAATTACTTCTAATACAGGGTTGTCCAACTGTAGGATATAAGGATCCAATTATCATTATATTGGATACTAATTTTTACAAATAGTTCAAGAAAGTAAGTGCAGTTGTAGCATTGATAGTATGATTCGAAAACTGATGGCAGAATCCAATCCTTCTTCCTGTGTTTTGAAGTTATGTGCAACTGAGGGAAATTAAAGTGTGTGTATTGCCATTCACAAATTAATTTTCCAATCATTTTTTTCTAGGTTATTGCTTTTCTGCATCACTACCTCCCCTGCTGACAGTGGCTGCCAGCAAAGCATTGGATATCATGACAAAGGATATAACAATATTTAGTGATTTGAAGGATTGCTGTGAATTGATGCATTCTGCTCTAGAAACAATTAATGGCCTCAAGACAAAAAGCCACAAACATTCACCTGTAAAACATTTGGTTCTATCAGATGAATGTGTATTTAACATTCCTCGAGAACAAGTGCTTTATGAAATATCAAATTATGTAAGAATTCAGTATATGTTCAGTAAAATACTAGTCTTATGAAATTGTGGGGAACTTAGTAATTGTTTGTTATAGTGAAATTTCATTGTAAAGAAGTAATTTCTTAACATATTAGTGTATTTGTTGCAGGATCTATATTATCTTATCACAAATTTACAAACAAAAATGCTGATTATTTATAAATTAGGCCAGAGGAACATGAAATAATAATGAACAGTAATTGCTGGAGGTTTTTTGTAAATTTTCTGCAAATTTTTAATTCCAATGTTTCAAATCATCTGTTGTATCAGTATACAATGTTCTCAATAGATTAATGGATTATTTTATTTTTGATGAACACAATTCAAAATCAAACAGTAGACGAGATTTGCAGTTGTAGCATTCATCGATTCCTTTTTAAGATTATTGCTCACACTCCACCAATAACATGACTTGCGCATGGGGAAGCAAGCGTAGATCAATCCAAGTGCATTAGTGTAATGCATTAGGGAAATGGTTATTATGGTTGAATTGTTTTAATAATAAATTACATTATATAATAAAAATATTTCTTTTAAAAAAATGAAGAAAAAAATAATAAATTACATTATAAAAAAAATATTTTAAATTAGGATGTATTAAATTATATTTTAAGAAAACAAAGCTAAAAGCTTTGGGAAAAAGGTGAAATTCTTTTAGAGAATTTCAAATTTTGTTAAACGGAACGTATTTTACATACAACACAAAGATAAATTGGTGTGTATCTGGAAAGAATTTTATAAAGCTGAAATTTTTGTTATATTGATGTTTGTTTTAATATAACAGTGTATGTTAACATTTATAAATTCTTTTTTTTAATTGTATGTCACTTTTCTTTCATAGTGCATTCAACATGGCATTGCTGTGATTGTGCCAACATACTTGGAGAAAGTGGAGAAATTCACACCAACGACAAGTATTCGCCTAACTGTAAATAATAAACTTTCAAGTGAAGAAATTAAACAAGCATGTACAGTGCTCCAAGAAGCGTGTAATGCTTTAATGAGTCATTGAAATACATAATTTTCTACTACCCCACCTACTGTCGTGTGCTTTTTAGTCATTATAGTAGACAAGAAAAATAGTGAGAATTCTGCACTATTGTTTTAAAGAGTCATCTCCATAGTTTTGTAATTACATTATTACAGAATATTCAATCATCAAGCAATTCGCATTATCTGAGGAAGGTGTAATCAAAAGTCGTATTCTTCTTTCACCATTGTGAGTGAGCTGTGTTCCTTCAACAGTGCCTCTTAGTATGTAGTTTGTATGAATTATTATCCTAAAGTATTATACTCATATGAAGGGGCCCATAAATTAAGACTTGTAAGAACCTTATGCTTTCAAAATAATTTTGAGAGCATATTTACATGAATATAAATTTTTAGACAAATTCAAAAAAGGTGTAACAAATGAAAGGGCTGCTTAACCTATTAACAGGCAATGTTCTCATTGAAGACAGCAAGGGTATACATTTTTGTAAGGAACTGAGGTAACCTAATGTTGCCAGGGTATTTATTACAATCGTGTATTAAAGAGGAATACATATTTGTCAATAGTTTCAAGCTCTGCTTTACTCCAATTCACCCTCCCCACTGTGCTTTGCCCCAGCCTCTCTCCATTTGCCTTGCCCCTTCCTGACCTATCCTATCCCATCCCATTTCGCTTCACACCTTGCCTGGCTCCACCCTATTTTGCAATACCACTGCTCCCCAATATCTAGTTAAATCTGGAACACATTAAACCAGAATTAAGGAAAGCTCATTAATGGTATTTATAGATGAAAGTATTCTGTTGAACTATTCCAAGTTAAGAACTATCAGTAAAGAAAATTTTCTGAAAATTGTATTACGAGTTGAAAAGATGGAAGTTGTGTATTAATTGTTATAATATAAAATAATATATTTAGAATTTTGATCTTGTTGACTGGAGGAAAACATTTAGTGGGTCTACGTGTGTATGTTTTTTTATAGTTTATAATTTAAAAAGCTATTGATTATAATCAATAATAAATTGGAGCCTACAGTGCGTGGCAGTGTTGTATTCTAAAATTAATATCTGCTGATAACTAAACGGTAATATATATCTAAACAATGCAACATAATTTTTTCTGTTAAAAAATATAAGTTCATAATTTCTTTTCTAAAGAAACCTCAACAGTAGAATGTTTGTACAGAGACCATTTTGGACTATTGATTTACAAAAAAAGATAGAATTGGGTAGATTGTATGTGTGTGTGTGTGTGTGTGACATGTCATATAAGTGTGTATGTAGCCGCTGGTGCCACAATTAGGGGGTTCCCCATATTTTATGATATTCAATATTTAGGTAACTTGTATTTTGCCTTATTCGAAATTTTAATCTTAAGGATGTGTCACACAGTTCATCATTGTCCTTTTATTTGCAGTCTTGGGTCAAAGCTCACAGAAATTGCCCTAAACATTGTGGATATTCCACACAACACAAAAAGTTATGCAACAAAAAATTGTGAAAAGCAGAGACACCAGTTAAAAAATTACTCAGATACAAATCCTAAAAAATCCAACATTTCATTCTGTGTAGATTGCTTTGATCCTTTCTGTTAGAACTAAAAATGCTCCAAAATTAAATGCTTCATTGTATTAAATCCAGATTTCATTGTTTTAGCAAAAACTTCCAAGAAGCAATTCAGTTTTCTATGGTTTTACGTACCACATTCAACAAATGCTCGAATTTCATGCTCGCCCATCTAGAATTCAAATAAAATTAAATGAAGCATATGTGCTTGATCTTAAGATTTAATATGAATTCAATTGGCTGTGATAACTCAGTGGCAACATTGTCTGTTCAGCATCGTTGACTGAGTGGTCCAGGGCTGTAGCTCCTATAGTGGCATATTTTCAACAGTAGACACACCAAGGACAGCATGTGATCTTTCCTTCTTTAACCTTGTCCACTTCTCTCCTCTTACAGTCACTTACATGCATTACACTATCTCGGGAGCATAGAGCATACTGAGGATGGGGCAGTGCCTCACGGAGGGAAATTTCCAGAGGATGGGGAAACCATGCAAATCAGTGTGTCATCACCAGATCTCCCTTCGAGCTGGGGAGGATCACCACCACCACCTCTCAAGATGTAACATGCATTCCACTTTCAGAACTAATGACCAGAAGCAGTTGACACACCAAGAATCAATTCATTCAATTTCACTTTCCTTGTCCTTGGGAGAAATGGAAAAATAAAAATTTGTGCTATAATGGGTTTGAATTCTGAGAATTTTTAACTGTAAAGTAATAGTGATATTCAAAAGTCATTGAATTTATTCTTATTGCAGGATAATCAAGATATAAATTGGCCATTCATTAAAATATTATATTGCCTCATTTACTTGATTCTCTAACTGCTTTTTAATTTTGAAGTCAAATTTTTATGTTAATTTTGAATCTTTGAGTTGTGAAAATTCACTAATCATTCTGAATTCAGTGAAAGAGAATGATGTTTTCCCTTTTTCTTATCAAACAAAACTCCTAGCCCTCCCTCGGAGCAGTACTCCAAAAATAATTTAGTCTGGTATTGTGTATCCCAGTGTCTTGGACAGTGGTGGCTTGTACCTATGGTAGCATGTTTGTGCTACACCAAAAAACATTTTGACATTTAAAAATCTATTTGTTACATGCAATATGTGTATTTGTTCTTATTTGTGTTACTACTCTCAAAAGCCATTATCAGAACGTAATTTTTCTACAAATCCGATACTAGAGAACGAGACAAATATATACTACGGAAATTTGGTGTTTGACTCTGAGATGCTACCAACTTGACCCAATGGTAAAGCATAATGATGGGGAAACCGTAAGCTGTCAATAGAGGACCACAGAGAGTGTAGTTCTCTGATGGTAGTCGATCACCTCAAAGACATAGGGAGGGGCATGTGAATGACCTTTAGATCACATTCATGTACATCGCATACTCCGCAGACCAAAAAAATCCCAGAGAGGGCAGGGGTGAGCAAATTTTATGAGAAGGTTGCAAATTGGGCACAGCAAATACATTGGTAGATGATTCATAGACAAAAAAAGTGTATTACAGTTTTAGTATAAATTTATGTTTAAAAAGGAAACATAGAAACTTTAATAGTTATTCAATAATGTTTATCTTACAAAATTCAAGTAATACTAACTCTTTACATTCTCTGTGAGGGGTGGGCAGTACTGATCCTGCTAAATTGTGCCCGAGTTCTTGGCTGCCTTCAAGTGTCTGCACTACCTTATTGATAGTTATATTTATTGACAGTGGAAACTAGGCCACCCACCAACTTTTTTGTTAACATAGTGTCACCAGCTGCCACTGGTTCCAGATGATGTAATTCAGGAAGGCCAGGCATGGTACCATTCTTCCATGTTTAATCAGTTACCATGTATTATTTCATTAAATTACATGAGTAACATGAATGTCTGAATTCAATTTAACAATTGGCCAGGTAACTTGTACTAAATAATTTAATTGCTCTTTTTGTAATTAAATATCAATTTCATGGAAGACAAACTAATTCAGTGCAAGAATTTTCACTCTACCAATATTTCCAAAGAAATAAGATTTTGTAAATTTCTGCGTTGGAAAATTACCAAAAAATAACCAGTATTTTTGTTTACAAATTCCTTAGTCACCTCAGTTGTAAGAGTGCTCTGAAGTATGTGCATGATTTATTTTTTTAATAAAATACATTTGAAGGATGTGACCTATTTGGAAGGATACTTTATATTATTGTATTTAAAAACTGATGCTTATTGTAATAAAATACAATATTTATATGTGTTTGTTTATCATACCAAGCCTCCTGTACATCCTAAATATCAATGACACATGTCTGGGTTGCTTCTCAACATACCTTATCTTATATTGTATATATAACATAGGAGGGCATGCTATAATGAAATATGTATTTGGGCGATTTATCATTATGGACATGACATGCACACATTTAAAATATAAAATATTCAATAAAATGCAGCCAATTCATTTTGTGATATAGTAGTTTTACATTTTCTATTATAATAAATAAATTGTGAATGCAAAACAACAACAATTCACATTCAAAATAATCATTAAAGACCTTACATTAGGGTTGCGACACCAAATAGCCTTCATTTTCATCTTTAATTACAGAAACCAAAATGTTATCTTCTTAACACAATGACATTCAGTTAACTTAATGGATATCAATGAACAAAAGTTCTTGTTAATTAATATTACGTGAATTGAATATTTAAAAGGCACAAAGAATTTATTATGATTACGCCAAGACAAATTTCTGGACAGAAAACATTCTATAATTTAAAATTGAAGTTTTAAGTGAATAAATAATAAAAGTACCTTGAATATACATAAATTATATTTTTATAATTCTGTCAACTAGGTTTTATAAAAATGAAAATCAAATTCTTCATTTTATTTAGTTTTTGAGGGTTTTAATTCTAGGAAGTTAACTGTAACAACGTATGCTATAAAAATATAGTTAATTTCAGTTCTTGAATATTTAACAACCCCATAGTTCAGGAAATTTCATCAATTTAGTTTCACTTATTTCTGTTATTTTCTTTTCAAGTGCATTGTCAGACACAGTTTTTTGTTTATTCCAGGTATCAATACAACTGTTTCCATCTTTCAAGGAATGTTATGCCCAGTTCAGTTCCATTTTTGTTGACCAGAAGAACTTGATCTGAACGAAATCAATTTTTTTGCTGGTATTTCCTCTTTTGTGTAGAATTGCCCATTTCATTATAGTGTGTATTTTAACATGATCTTGAACTTCAATCACACTTTTCCTTTAGCAAAGTAGTCTTTATTGCTGCCACGTTTGAAATGATACTTTAAACAGTGAAAGATTAAAGTAACAGCAGTCAAGTGAGTCAGTGTCAATTTTTGCACTCATACTCTCCTCACTAAATCAGAATAGCTGATTATGAATACAGCATAAGCAATGATGGCATATAACCAGGACATGCAGAAATTAATTTCTTGTTTGTCCTTATCAGTGCCTTCCATATGCCCCCTAATTGCAGGAGGCAGTGCAACAATCAATAATCTCAGCAACTGGACAATGTGAAATAAGGGTGTATCTGGGTTAAAAAAAAATTAAGCTTAATTCATGTTTAAATAATATGGGTGGGTTTAAATGAGGTTCATTCACTCGTGCTGGGGACCTTATCTTTTTCCCTTTTGAATAAAATATTTAAATAACTATTACATGTCTAGCTTGTTAATAATGGAATGAAGCTGAAAGAAGTAAGAATTTTTCACATTTTTGTTAATGATACCAGTAAGTATTGGTTTTGTTACTTCCTCGCATATGAGAAAGAATAACAGTGTGAAATTGGCAATAGGACACATAAATGTAAGTATTCAGTCTTTCTTAAAAAGGAACCCCCAAAATTATCTTCTTGGAATTGTATGAAATTTGTTTAGCATGAATTACAGATTTTCAAGAAAAATATAACTTCACTTGATATGGCAACAGCGAGACATTTCACTTATTGTCCAGGGACAGTTAAAAATGCAAATTCACTTGTATTTTTCAAGTGAGGGAACCAGTGAATTGGAGAGAAATATTAATAAATAGGTACAACAGCTTTTTCATTCAGTGGCAGATGCTTGTATTTTAATGTCATCATCAAAACAAAATACAATTATCATACAATATATTTGTGTAGTATCTAGTAAACCACCAGCCTGTCTTCTGGATTTGAAAAGAGATTACCAATCTCTGATAAGCATTTCTTATGCAAATACTAGGCATTCTCTTATTTCCCAAGAAACTCAGAACCTAAATTACGAACAATACGTGCAGAATACACTATCTGTGAGATGCTTCGAATCCCTTTGAGGAAATTACGTTGATGCTTAAGACTTGGCGAATACCATCTGGTAAGCCATTCTGAAAATTTGAGGAAAAAGAATCAGGAAAACAATTCAAAGATATTGCACAACGCACATATGGCAAGAATTTGTGTTTATGTCATTAGGAATTTGTAATATTGAGTATCCAAAATGAAAAGAGGAAAGTTGAAAAATTAGAAACTTGATGACATTGAAATGTCACCTAACACCTTGTGAAAATAAGTGAAATAAATTCATAATTCATATTGGATATTATAAACATTGAAATATTAAATGACCAACACACAACAAATCTTAAATAAATTACAATCATACATTCTCCTGCACATATATTTCTACAGCTCTCTCCCAAATAATCTTGCTAATGCATTTCTAATACCTCTCTAAAAAGCATTGAGAAAATGACATTTAAATTCAAAACTTCATGCATTCAGAAGCAAGTTCTATTTAAAAAAATGCCTTTTCTTACAATGAAAGGAACTAAAGTATTATAATTTATCACACTCCTATCACAAAAAGAAATACTACAGGATTGTACGCAATTAGCATGTCAAGGATGTACAATGTGTGTACAGTACATAAAATGAAATGTTCTGCAACATCCAATGACAACTGGCAGTGCTAAGAAAACATACATAGAAATATAAATATTTAAAAGCAAGAGGAACAAAGTGAATATTTTATAATAAATACAAACAGAAGTTTTCAAAACATACAACATGCATCAGGATAAGAAAGAATAGAAGAAACAACATACTAAAAAATTATGATAAAGAACAAAAATATGAGAGTTGGAAAGGCCTAATGCACATAAACAACAATGAGGAAAGAGTGAACGGTTGTATACTTTCTTTAGAGCAGTGAATATTAGAATGAGACAAAATGTACTTATTCATCACTTAATATAAACAAATTTTCAGCCTTTAAATGTGAATAATTACATTTTTTAACATGGAATAATAATATTAATACTAGAATAGGAATTTGCGCTAGAACAAGAAAAGTAACACAGCTAAAGTCTTTAACATTATTTTATAGCTGCAATCATACCGAGTCTAGCCAGCTAGAATATACTGTTTTCTGTTACTGAAATAATATCAAAACAAATCACAGAAATAACATTGATAAGATGGATTTATGTCAAAATAAATATACCAAATATAAAAGGCAAAGAAAACCAACTACCATAAATGAGTATTTTATGATAAATGACTAACAATCAAGGTTTCGCATTAACTTCCATGTAGAAGTCAACATACTTGAAGGTAAACAAAAATATAAACAAGCTCTTTGAGCTCTCCCCATTGCAATTATTTCTTCACAAGTGTCCAAAGCAGTTTTAACCTTATCTCCAGGAAGACCAATACAAAGATACCAAAATGCTAAAATACCGGGTTTCTGTGAAGCAACAACCACTGCATAGTCATACAACAACAGGTACATTGTATTTAACAGCTATAGTCCTGCAGCAAACTCATTTGTAGAAGAATACATCCTCAACCCCTTTTCATCTATCCTGCAAATCCACCTCTAAAAAATCTACATAGTGCTGTGAGTAAAGTTGGCACCAGGGTAAGGCAGAATCAATCTAGATATCAAACTGCACTTCAAGTATCTCCACATTTGTAGCAATACAATTATTTTCATTAGTGCTTGTAATGCAACAGACACCTAGCACAAAATGTCCTGCATTTCCTTGGCGCCACCACTACTCGTTACTACTTTGCAATGCTTATATTAATAATTACTCACTAGTATAAGGATTAACATAAAAAATTACACTGATACAACAATGAACAATCGTTACATGTAAAAATAGCACCATATTATTCATAAATATATCTGAAAATGATGATGCAGAGATGAATCATTAAACATATCATACACTTCAATTTGAATAAATTACGCAAAATGTCAATACTGACACATACATTTTGTAAAAGATGATTAGGATATACATAGGAATGTACCATAGAAATCACAAAAAAATTGTGTCTTTTGAATTACATACTACATTTTGTTTTCCTGTAAAGGAGAAGAAATATTTTAAATACTGCAACTAAAACCATTTCTACCACAAACTATAAAACATACGCATTTAGAATGTAGAATTATAGATTCTTGCACCAACTAATAATAGGAACAAAATATTAAATAATTCACAAACACTGACAAAATTAAGTACATTCAACAAGCAACTACAAAATAGATGCTTATTTCTTACAAGGCTAAAAATACTTAATCTTTCTAATGAGCAACCAGCAGAGTAACATTGTGCAAACACTGATTCACAAATTTACATGCTAATGTTCGCAAGATTCGAAAGACAAAATGATTGCTCAGTCTCGAACACACATCATTCAGTAAAGTCTATCATGAAACAAATTGTTTATTTGAGTCTGTGTTATGGATTCAGTCAAGACCATCCTATCTAAAACTATGCAAGTTCAACAGCATGTACATATCTCTAAATATCTAACTATGGTTTTAAAGAGACAAGTTATTATTTACCATGTTTAAAAAATGATTTGTAAACTAAATTATATGTTGTACTCTGAATGTTAAAATTAAATAAGCTTTCTGAAATGAAGTGTGAATACATTGTATTTCAAAAATATTCTGTCCAGTATACAGTAAAACTTGATCAAGGGGCCAGTATTTTTTCTGGTATTAGTCAAGATTCCGTGATACACAATTTAATACCTTAGAGTTTACATTTACCTGGACTATGGTTTATGTTCACATTGGACAAACACTATAAACATTCCACATTGAGGAAGTTCTACTGTATTTGAAATAAAGGATTTAACTTCGCTATAAACAACAGATACATGGACAATATGGTGATATTTTCTCTTATCTCTTTAAGACAAATGAAAACTATGAAGTTGCCAGTCTCAAAGCAATGGCACTTGAGGGGTAGTAGATAACATCACAGCCCATTTATCACTATATCACTAGAATGGGAAACCCAATTATTAATTCCAGAAAATAATCTTTCTTGTGACAAGTGCAACTAGAAATTAGACCACTAAAAATACAAATATATTGCTTGTTACAAGCTACACATACTATCAAATGTATTTAGAATTACAACTGAAATGTCGTACAGAATTCTCCTAATTATTTTCGGCCCACTGAAAACAAAATAAAAATTCTTTGTTTCGTGACCTAGTTAATTTAAATATATAACAGGACATACTTTAAAAAAAACTCACATGGACAACTGATTACTATAAGCCAAAGAACCACATGGAAGTAAACAAGCCACCTAAAATAAATTGTTTCAAATAAGAATGGAAAACAAATTTTAAACAAATACATTTTAAAAATCGAAATCTTAACAATTGTAACAAGTACCATCCGAACATCTTTTAGCTACTGAAATCTTAAAAAGTCAACATACATATATGAAATATTTTTCACGCATATATAGGGGATACAAAATGCAGGATCAATGTAAGGATTTTGCAACAACCTGTAAATAATCTAGAACATCTAGCAACAGTGATTTTGTGATGGAATATTTGGTCAACAGTGCAAGTCTCAAACTAGCCAAGTCTACACCAAACATTTTTTAATCAAAATTTACGGTAAAATATTTTCGTTTCCTTGAAATGAACACAACATACAAAGGGATAATCGTATATGACACGCAAAAAATTAACAATGGCACCCATCTTGGGCCTTGCTACATTGCTTGACGAGTTATTTGAATAGACATACAATAAAGTTGCTGTTTTCACTTCTTATTTAGCTAAGGGGATTACCTGAAATGTAAACTGATAATCTGACATTAAGTCATCAAGGGTTATGTGTACATGAATTAATTTGGGCCTTCACCTATGATCCTCATCAGTATATTAAAAATGTGTAAACCTAAAGAATACAAATGAACACTAAGAATTAAAGGCATCCTGTGTTTTTCAGAAAAAAATGTTTGCAAATTGGATCATGTGTTCTTAAATCTTACAAAAAGTTATTCAGAATCTCTTCTAGTGGCTTCATGTTTCTAGGGAGAGTTTGGGGTTTTGAGAATAATAAATAAAACAGCATGTTAAAGTTGTTCATAAAGCCCAACAAGTAATGTGAATGATACTCAAAATTGTTTCTTCAGTGGTATAAATGTAATTTCAATTCTAGTATTTGCCATTTCAATTCGGCATTCATTTCAACAACGATTTCATTACCATAGATATGTCTTATTACAAATAATTCTTGATGTTATTAGTAAAATCACAATATCTAGACTCAAACTATCTAAAAATACAAGCTGATCTTTAGCATAGTAATGAGTACCAAAAAAATATTCTTTATGAAATAGTGGTAAATAAATATTGTCCATCAAAATCTGATGAACAGATTCCATTTTCTGGAATGTGAGCAGAAGAAAATATGTTGTCATATGTCCATTATTCTGTCTTCCAGAGTTTAGAAAATTCTGACACCAATCAGTGTCAGTGGATCTAAAAACATTGTTTAACAATGATCACTCATGATGGTTTTGAGAGCCAATGAATGGTTGTTTGCTAATAAATTTTAACAAAAATGCTAAACTTCTTACTTACTGAATGTATTAATAGTATATCCCATTTCAAAGAAAAGGTTGTTACCATTTCCATTAACAATATTCTGATTGGTTAAAGATTACACCACTCTCATTTTACATATATTAGTGTCATTGACTAAAATTATTTCTTAGATGTCCAAAAGTACCACTTAAACATGATCACACCATGCAAACAAAAAATGAAATTTTCTAGAAATTAATTTTAAAAAAGTAGTTAATTAGAAATAGTTCTGAAAATATCAGTCTGTTATCTAGAAAACCAGTGTTTTCCAACAAATTATTTCCTGATACATGCAGATTGACTGAAAATGCTTGCTTGAACACATTTATTATGTTAACAAACATTTCCAGGCATCCATAAATTTCCTTATAGTGAAATGAAAACTTTCTCACTTATGACAACATTCTGTTTAAATGGGTCTACAAATTTTGCTCAAGATATCTGTACAAATTTAATTTTCTTTTACACCACGAAACTATCTTGGTTATCAAAACATATTGCTTTTACAACTATCACATCTGAATCACTAGGAGTCACTGTTGCACGGTTATTGGCTCATTAGTCTACTCTAAAAATGTATCTTAACATGAGGTGTTACAGAGGTGTCTTGGAAACTTTTAATGGACCTGAATGTAATGCAATTATTACTTTATGCTGTTGAATTTGCATGATGGTTGTGATACTAATGGTATGTTGTGAAAATGCTTGAATCTACAGATATAAAAGCAAAAAATTATCATTATCAATCATTTTTAAAGGAATCACAAGTTGATTTACAATACTTATCAGCAAAATGTAACTAACAAAAAAGTTACAGATATAATAGTTACAAGTTATATGAAAATATTATTTTTAGTATTGTGCATTGCTGAAATTCTTGGCTCTATTGCTGTATTCTAAATGAAGCATTTCTTACCTGTCAAAAGCCTTAAAAATACAATGTTAAAATTAGTCTATTGAGTATAATTGCAAATGTGCATCACAGAAACCTATAACAACTTCAGAATCAAATACATATTTGGAATTAGTTCTCGTATACATGTCACTTGAAAACACCACATTTTGCTTTTACATCACTTTCCCTAACTACACTTTGATTTACCATCTAAAAGCTTCTTCCACAAATCAAACTGTTCATGGTATTTTATCATGTGTATACTTATTCCTTTTTGGATACTGCATGCATTCAAAGAAATCCTTTTGTTGAGGAATTCACTAACATGTATTCTTCTTACTTTCATTTCTTGGGCAACAATTCCTGTAAGGAAAACATCCTCCAATTTCAAGTATGTTTTATTTAAAGCTGTTACATAGAGGTCATGAATTATGTCACTTGTGATGAGGTAAGCTGGCCCAGTGGTAAAATCAGGAAAAATTGGTGGTTTGTACTGATCCAATGATACATAATACTTAGATGCCTTGTTGCGAATTGGCTTCCATTTTTTAGCAAGTCTTCCAAAAATAGTTCTCTTGTCATTATTGTGTTTATCAATAAATGCAAGAAGACGAGGTACATTAATAAACATATCATCATCTGTTTTGAGAACAAATTTTGCTTTGCTACAATAAGTGTCTACCCATTCCAATAAAGATAGAGTCTTGAGAGTCAAATTGTTATAACTGTCCAGGAACTTCGATTGAATAACATCATTGTAAGTATCAATTTCCACATTCAAGAGTTCTTGTTTGTGAATATCACTAACAGACCCCACAAGAAATCCAATTGACACATCTTTTCTCTGTCGAAAATTGCCCCAAGTATAACGAATTGCAAACCGAGCTTCCCTGTGAGAAGGTGCAGATGTCACAATTATTAGAAGTTGAATTCTTTCTCCATTATCAGGACATAACATTGGGCCTGGAACCTGGAAACCATGTTCATATATCTTTCGAGTTGGTATTGCTTTGCCAACAGCATCTGCTGCAGTTGCAGGATTTGCTACTGCAGGTGAAGCAGCTGCTGGCACACCTGCTGCAGCTGCAACTGTTATAACTGTAGCTGAGGCAGAAGCAGATGCAACAGGTGCCTGAGATTTCACAGGAGTCTGTACAGCATTCTGGACTGAAGAGTGATGTGCACTGATATTCGTTGTGATATTCTCTGGTGTAACAACCAAATCAATAGGTTGAGCAACAGCAGTTGATGTAATGACATGATGAATTTCTTCATTGTTTGCCTGAACTGTCATATTTTTTACTTTGGGAGTAGTAATGGAAACTGAGCTGACTTTCGTAGACAAAGCATCGGACCTGTCATTTCCTAGAACTGAAACAAAAAAAAAAAAAAATATAATAATAATATTAATACTAATAATTAAAAAAGCAATTAAAAAGTATTAATTTCCTATTGCTATGCACTATCAATTTATTCCATTGCTTACCCAAAAATGTATATACATTGTATAATACATTAAAAGTACTGTTTATTATAAAATGTTTTTGGTACATTTTTTAGTACTTGATTGTGTAATGATTTTCAATTAAAATTAAAATGCAGTTCTTGACCATACCTGTATTTTCCAAGAATAATAATCCAGGACTGGAGTAGTATGAAGAGTATGCAACTAAACACAACCCAATGAAGCCAAGAAAGAGAGAATGAAATTTTCGGACTCGAAATGCCATCAGCTGTAAGCAAAAAGAAAAGGTGGCTTATTCTAAAAAGCAAATCAAGAAAACAACAAAATACAGATATTATTTATGTCGAACAATACATCTAAACCAGGAGAATATTTGAACATCTTAAGTCTTAGGATGCAAAAATTGTTTTTAAACATTCAAAAGGATGAAAGGAATCCCAAACAAAATGTCTAGCTTCCAGAAAAATTTAATTTTTTTGTAACAATTATTTCCAATGACTTTGGGTATTATATTATAAATAAATATTCTTCCTTCTAATTAAGGATAATAAAATTTCATAAATTAATGCTGTTTATTTCATGAATTCCTTTTTAAAATTTACATTCACAACATTCAGAAAACTCTTTCGCTTTCTTCTCGAGTGATCCACAAGTTTTATTAACACAAACACTAGATTAATTTTAGAAATAATTGAGGAGTACCATACACAAGTTTAAGGAAACTCGCCTTGTAGCTACCTGTTAAGTAGCTCAGAGGGCCACAAAACATGTGATGAGTCTGTCTGTGTGTGGCAGAATGACAGTAATGCAGGGAGTGTAGTGTTGGCTTTGTCAAATGTTTAGATTATGACAAAACATATATGGGATAAGCCAAATGGAAATTTAAGTTAAGAATAAAGGTACATATGAATATTTAAAGGATCCCCTTCAAGAATCTTCAGTGCCACTTCATAGGTTAGAACTTTTTCAAAATATGGATTTTCGAAACACTTCAATTACTGATACTCAATCTAGAAAATATCTGCATTTGATTTCAAAGACTTTACACATTAAATTAAATATACAATTAAGAGCAAAATTGAATCCAATGTTTTCACTAATAAGTACAATCCAATTCCAAATTGAAATAAGAATTATTATTCATTAATAAAACAATGGCATTGTTCACTTTTCAGAACTTTCCTCCTACTTCCATACCATACCTCTTATTCTGTCCCAACATTCAGACATCCCACAATAGTTGTGGCCATCCAGGCACTGTAACAGGTCCCTGGTGAGTTTTCTTAATCTTGTGTTTTGAACTCTTCAATTATTTCTAATGAATCTAGTATTTATGTAAAAACATCCAGATCAAGGAGAAAGTGAATGAGGTTTCAAACATTGTGAATGTAATTTTGGAATGAACAGCATTAATTTTTTAAATTTGACTGTAATTCAAAGGAAGAATATTTATTTATAAAAACTAATTCTTCTTAAATTCATTATTATTCCTAATGTTTGATGAAGGCAATAATTACCAATTATTGCCTTTTTCAATTCATGACTCCCAAGCAATTATTTGTTTCATGATTTCTCTTGAGAAGTTAGTCAATAGCTAGATAAAATTAGGTTGCAAATGTTTCTGAACTTATTATAACTCTCTTCAGAGCAGGAGATTGCATACAAAATAAAATATTATTACATCAAATACTAGACATTACAATTGAAGAAGAAAAATACTTCTTTGCAATAGTATTACATTAATTCTATTATTCATTACATTAAAAGCATACCTTGTTATTAAATTGTGGAATCACATGACTAAAGTTTATTCCATAATGCAATAGCAAGGTATGTTTTTTTTAAGTAAAAAGTAATAAAATTGATGTAATAGAATATTAAAGAATTATTTTTCTTTTCCCCCACCATGATGCCTAACCTTTCATATTTTATATTAATCAGTGTAGTAAGATTACTTTTATACATAATCTATGAGGTTGGTCAGGGGTGTGGTTAATTTGTAGGTCTTAATATACATCAAGAATACACAAAATATATAGAATACACAACATGATGTTCCTAGGAGAAAATTTAAACAATCTTTTCAACTTCAGATATTAACTGTTGAAGTCTCGCCCCCAGATGGTCTTTTGTTTGGTCCTCAGATGACCATTCTTTTCTGAACTTTTCATGTGGACCCCTCTGCCTTTGGACTAGAGGAACATCATTTTTCTTAGTTTGTTTAGCACAAACTTTAAATCAAAGTTGGACTGACATCACTTAAACAATGTTTTGTGACATATCCTCCACCCAGCAGACTTGCAATGTGCCTCTGATCAGGAAATACAATTTTTTTAGAATCATTATAATTTGTACAGTAGTTTCTACTTTGCAAGGCTTGAGGTCCCTAATGCTTGAAAGTGCCAGTGGCACATTCATTAACAACATTAATTTTGGTTTAGACTACAGATTCCATGCATGAGGACCTTTTATGATCATTAAGGACTAAAAAGAGTGTGGTTGACCTCGCATAGTTATTGACCAACTCTTCATGAGAAATTCCAAAAGAAATACTTAACTTTATACAAATAGAAATTTCACAATAACAAAGCACAATCCAAAGAGTACATCAAGAGTGAGCATAAATGTAAAAGATCTTTGGAAAATTTAGCCAAAGTTAACACACTAATAGCAACATGGAAGAGAATGCAATATTTAAAAAAAAATTGTATTAAATTTATTCATATGCAGAGGTGAACAAACAAGGCCTAATTGCACAATTTAGAAGGAAATAACATGCAAAATGTATTCAAGAATAGGGGCAAGGATATTTTACAAGTAGGAATGGGAATATAATCGTCTGCAGCAGGAAAACAAGGTTGAGCTATTGAAGTTTGTCACTACAAGATGAACCACAAGGGTTGGTTTAGTCCCTTCTAAATGATTACAGAATTGCAAAAAAAATTCTATGTCGTGTTAAATATGGAACAGGAAGAAGAAACATTTCATTTAACCTTAGCATAAATAGAAAATACTGAAGTAATGAGCTGTTTCCTTTCCTGAGCACCAGAGATGTATGAATTAGGCTACACAAAAATGGAAAATTTTATCTGATGTGAGAAATTTTAATGAATGAACAGAACTCTAAGACAATGAATAACAATAGAAAATACTCCATAAAGAAATGTTCATTGTTCATGTTGTAACCTGCTGTAATGTTCGGGTCTATATGGCCCCCAAAAAAATTGTTTTGTTCTCACAGGCATGCTTGACTACAGAGCATTTTGATATTTCTTGACTTTGTTTTCTATTGAAATATCTTTAAATGTATGGAAGATTTTTTTATTGTCAGTTTGTTATAGTTTTCCTAAAAAATGTAATTGTTACATATGTACTGTTCACGTCTGTGTGACCTGACTGTCAAAAACCAACAAAACTAGTACGTAAAAGAAGAAATATGGTGGTAGGACAATGTTTTGACAACAAAACTTTATACAAGCAAGCGTAGAACAAAATTAGTGTATGAGAGACCTTTCTGGTCTAGAAAGAAGTTCACTCAAATGACAATTTTACATACAATTATTTTTGTACGTCATCAAATTTGGAACAGTTTTAAAACTAAAAATTATCATTCTGGGCACAAATGGAAAAATTAAGCAAGAACTTGCACTCACATAAGCAACAGAAAAGTTCAAAGTTTTTTCTTTTTATAGTATTCTTTGCTGTAAACTATTTTTTTTATTTTTTGATAAAATGTTTTTATATAAATTGCATTCTCGCAATAATTACACAAAAAGTAGTCGTAAACAAAAACACAACATTACCTTTTTTAAACACCAGATTTTTCAGAACTGATTTTGTTTATGAGAAAAATCTCTACCCTCAATACTGTAGCTTCAGAATGTTAGCTATTAGCAATTTTTTGCAATTTCAAAAATTGAGTTTGCTAGAAAGGAGACTAGCACAACTATTTTACCGTCTTTTGATACTTATGAGGAGAAAATTTAATGAAAGAATTTGGAGCATTTTTTGAGAAAATTGTTTTACAAAATTTAAAATTTATATAATTCATGGAAGATACGCAAAAACTACTCGTATTTTCGAAAATTTGTGTATGACGTTTATTTCAAGATCTGTTTATAAGCAACAGATTTTATTTTTAAAAAATCAGTTTTAAATTCGCAAGGACGGAAAACGGACGTTTTGCATTTATCGATTTCTCGGAATCACAGGCCCACAATGCCCTCCTTTTTCGTAACCTGTGCCCGGCAATAAAGAGTTTTTCTGTCCAAAATTCGCAGTTTGTCGGTGCATGATTACAATACTTTTACTTCTTGCGAAATAAGGCGAGATAAGTCCAAAAGTCTTATGTTTATAAGGGAAAGCGAATAAGAATACGAGAAAACACTTATAGGAGTATCGTCGCCTATTTATTCGCACATTCGCCACACGTTTTTAACAAATCTGAACGAATGACGATGAAGGAATAATTTCGTTTAACAAGGTAATAGTCACTAGTATTAATAGCTAAAGGTAATTGTGAGGCGTCTTGTGCGTTCGCGAGATGTTGGACACAAAAATGCTTTGTGCATTATCAACGTTGTTTTATATGTGCCTTTGGCTTTAAGGAACAACAAAATAATTTCGTTTGCAGATGACACAAACATAATCATCAAAGCAAAAACAAAACAATAATTAGAAAAAGAAACTCACAAAACTTTGCAAGCACTAGTTAAATGGTTTCAAGACAATAAACTCATCATAAACACCAGCGAGACAGTCTCTCTAAATTTCATGAATCCCCAATCTAAAGAAAACTCTCACAGCAGTTGCTCATAAACAATAACCCTGTAACGATATCTCATGAAACTACCTTCCTCTGACTAACAATTCAAGAAAACCTAAAATGGAACACTCACATTTCAAATCTTAACAAGAAGCTCAGCAAATCTTGCTATGCCCTATACACCCTCAGGTCAAGCTCCAACATTGAGACACTTCGAACAATGTATTTTGCAAATGTACACTCACACCTAAAATATGGAATAATATTCTGGGGAAATGACCCTGAAAGCACTCGCACATTTATTATTCAAATAAGAATATTGTGAACAATGACCAGCACTCATAAGTTGGAGTCTTGCAAACCCTTGTTTAATAAACTAAGGATTCTTCCTCTACCATGCATGTATATATTTGAAATGTGGTCTTCACAAAGAAAATTCTCATGGAAAACAAAGACACTTTTACTTTAAATTCTGATGTAGACAACTACAACACCCGTCAAAAGCATAACCTACATGTTCCCCACTATGAAACTACACTTTATCAAAAAAGTACCCTAATAGAGGGCATTACACTTTACAACACAGGCAATGATATTACAGACATAAACACAATTCATACATTTAAAAGTAAATTGAAAGCTTTCCTGCTTAACATGTTCTACAGTGTAAAGGAAAATTCAAATTACATAATTTCCCTTAAAAAATATAAATAAATAAGAATTTCTTATCCCATTAGACTTGTTGCATGTTAACTGTTTCGAGCTGAAGCAAAGAAAAAAAGAACTGGCATATTGCATCCTGTAAAGTAGAAGGAGAATGCCTAAAAAAAAAAAAAAAAATTCTGTTTCTCTCTGGACTACGTGTACAAATTGAAAGAAAGAAAGAAAGAAAGAAAGGAGAGAGAGAAAAAAAAGAAAAAGAAAAAAAAAGTCAAAACTTGCTTCCTCACCATTTTAAGTTTTAAACATAGAATGTACTAATATTGTTAAATTTTATGTAGTTGCTAACAATTGACATGTATTGTTCTATTATTATTATATTATTATTATATTATTATTATTATTATTATTATTATTATTATTATTATTATTATTATAACATCTTGAAATGTTAAATTATCTGCTACTAAAAATAATTATCTACTGTATAATACCCTAATCTATCTGTAACAATTGTAGTATAATTTCTAGGCCAATGACCCCATTCAATCAGGTTTTGTTCAGTTTCCCTGATCCCTTGAGTAAATGCTGAGATGGCCCCTTGTTTGCTCCTGAACAGTAATGTACCTTTGCTCTCTCCACCCAAGACATCATATTGACTCGTCACACACGATTGTAATTATATATGTGACTCAATAAATATTATCATCATCATCATCATCATCATCATCATTATTATTATTATTATTATTATTATTATTATTATTATTATTAT